TAAAGCTCTGCAACCCTTTGATGAGGATTTAAAAAAATAAAACTATTAGCATTTGCATTGGAAAATAATAAAGAACCAAGCCCCTTAACATCTTTGTACCAAGGATGCAATTTATATTGCAATTAGGCAATGAAAACGCCTGGGGAATGTTTCGAGAGAGAGAAAGGAAGGTTGAGAAAAGATGCTCATTCTCACTTACCATTTCTGATGAAACTTCTCGAAGGTTCCCAAGAACCTTCTCCAAACAGTGCCTTGAGCAAGCTCCTTCCGGGGTGGGGGGGCCCTTACTGACTTGTGTCTTGCATTTGTAGAAATGTCTAACTAGGAGATAACAGTGACAGGGCACGAGCTGGCTCCAAGAGCCGCCCCATTTATGGTCAGGGGAGTAGCCAATCTCTCAGCCCATCCCTCAGGGAAGAAGGTCTCTGCCCCATGACCACTGGGTCTACCCATCCTCTGTGCCTTCATTTTCATCATTTCCCAGCTTACCTTTTTAACAGTGCCTAGACTCCGCTGCTAACCCAACAGCTCGGAGGCTGCCCCTGCCGCCAGCAGCTCCTTAGGAACAATGGGGCACACAGGCTGAGGTTGCCCACTCCTGCCCCAGCTGACAGGGAGTCAGATCAGTCTCAGTATAGGAGCGCTGAGTGCCCAGGACGTCCTGGGACTGGAGGCGCTCTGCTGTGGCTGCCGCAGTGCCAGCACACGGGGACTTTGGCCTCAGCCTCCCAGTCTTCTCCCATTTGACCGGGGGATTCTTCTAGACCTGGAGGATGAGGGCAGCTTTCCACTTCTTGTGAATTCGCTGTTAAGAGTTTGTGTTTTTGGGAGCACCAGATAAAGGGTGTTGGGAAGATCCTCCCAGGATGGGAGATCCATGCTGAGAGTGGACTGTGGACTGAACATGATTGCCACTCAATTCCTCTTTTGCAACCCACAGCACCCAAAAGAAGAGAGAGAACAAAAGGGAATGCCCTGCCACAGAAGCTGAGTGGGACGGGGGGATGGGGGGTGGGAGGGATACTGGGACTTGTGGTGGTGGAAAATGACCACTGGTGGAGGGATGGGTATCTGATCATTGTATAATTGAAACCCAAGCACAAAAATTTGTAAGTCTACAACTGTACCTCATAGTGTTTCACTAATAAAAGTAAAAAAAAGTTTGTGTTTTTTGAAAACGGCAAAGGAGGGGATGGAGAGGAAGCACAATGGCCAAGCACATGTTTTGCATGTAGGAAACCCAGGTTCCATCTTCAGCACCTCATGAGCCTCCAGCAGTGCTGGGGGCAACCTTTGAACATGAAGCACAGAGCCCCTGAGCCCTTGGGTGAGAGCCACCAACTGCCCCCCACCCCAAAATAAACAAAACAAAAACAGCTACAACAAAACAAAAAATAAAATAAAATAGCAAAGGAGGAGCTGGAATGGGCTCCAATAGGCCCAAGCAGCATCGCGCCACTGGGATTGTGAGCATAAAAACTCCAGTCCTGTTGGTTCAATATTTCTGGGCTCTACTGAGGAGGGTTTATGAAAAAGACTGAAGTGCAGGAACCCAGGGCTCATTCTTCCTCTGGATAAGCAAGGCGAGGGGAAGGTGGGGCTTCCGGTCCCGAGAGAGGCACTTTCCAGGAGCCAAGACTTGGGTCTCAGATGTCAGATTTGGTCCAGGGACCAGAGCCAGGGAGAGAAACGTGGGCGGCATGACAAGGGGAAAACAGAAGATGTAAGAGCCACCTGTGGCTGTGCCAACCACTTTCCCACCAGGTTCTTGTGATGTCCAGCCTGTCTCAGTCTGAGGAAGAGGCTAACTTAGCTCTGCTAATGACTCTGAGTCAGGCCCTTGGTGCTCACTGGGAGGCCCATGTGTGTGTATCCTCCCCAGGTGCTTGTGGTCTTGGAGTAAGTGGCCACTGAGTGGGCCGCTCTTGCCTGAACTCACAACAGAAACCCAGTGGACATGCACATAAATCCACGTTCTTTAATGAAACAACCCCAGACAGAGACACAGGTCACTCCTCTGCACTTCCTCTTTGACACTGACATCGAAACCTTGAATGAGACATGAAAAAGACAACATATTTAAAGATAACACTCTTAACAGTTTTTTTTTTTCAAAAGAAATGTTTTAGGCAGTTGATTTTTCAGAAGTTGGGTCGAACTCAGGTCAGGCGTGTGTAAGGCAAGACCTTAACCACTGTACTATCACTCTGGCCCCACAAACGGTTTTCTTTTTAAACAGGATGAACAAGTTGTGGATAATGTGAAAGTTAACTACAGAAACAAACAAACAAACAAACAAACAAAATAGTCTTACAGCGAATTAACACACAACCTTGCTTGCTGTCCAGAGAAATTCCATCATCTCACGTTCATTCAGAGACCGTCTTGCCCTGAGGTCCAGGTTCAAGTATCTCTTAGACCAGATTATGCTAAAGGTGGACCAGACTGAAGACCCACACTTCCAAAAGTTCCTCAGGTCACCAAGATAGTCCCACTGCTGAGCTAGTCTCGGAGCTCTGTGGCACCCCAAAATCCTGTCACTTCTGAAAAGACAAAGCAGAATGTCGTGACGTCCTCAGGCCCCCTCCCTGCCCCTGAAACATGTGGGAAGGTCAGAGAGCATTGAAAAGAGCCAGGACAGGGCCCACACCTTCCTATTCCATGCATTTTCTCTGGGGTCAGCCTGCCTGGCAGAACCTGCGTCCCTCGGCCCCTGTGCCTGGGGGTGGGGAGTGGGGGACAGTGAGGCCCATCCCAGCTGAATCAGAGCCTGTCTATTCTGGGCCTGCGTCACTCACAGAAAGCCTCCACACACCGTTTCTGTGAGGCCCATTGTTTCTGACTGGCCACAGGCTGATCTCTTGTCAGAGTCCCGAGTTCTTGCAAAAAGTCCCACCCGGGAGATAAAAACATGTACCCACGTCACACAAGGCATGGCCAAGGGGCTGTCTGCCTCCCATCAGCTTTTCCAGAATTCCTTCAGCTCCTTCACCCTGAAAAACTAGAAACAATGACTGTTCCCATCCCTGGGGAGAGACCCAGAACAACAGGCCCCCTGAACACCCAGATTTCCCTTTCAGCTTTGGCAGACAAAAGGAGACAAAATAAAACCCCAGAAAATATAAACACAATCCATCCACACCGGCCTGGGAGAGCTGAGCCAAGATGGGGCTGGAGCGATAGCACAACGGGTGGGGCGTTTGCCTTGCATGTGGCCAACATGGGTTCTATTCCCAGCATCCATATGGTCCCCTGAGCACTGCCAGGAGTAATTCCTGAGTATAGAGTCAGTGACTCCTGTGCATTGCTGGGTGTGACCCAAAAAACAAAGGAACAGAAACAAACAAACACAAAAGAAACAGGGCAAGACTGGGACGAACGGCCTGGCAAGATTGGCAGCTGATCCCTCACACACAGACACACAAAGACACACACAGTATTCATAACACTTTGTCTTCCTTCTGTTTGAAGAAAAATATATTCCCATGCAGTTCTTCTAACTTTTATTTGTATTCTTATCTTTTTTTTTTTTACTCCCAGCAATCACTTTAATTAGACACAGACCTCTGGGGGCTACACTCTGCTCTTTAGAAAATATAATCATTAACCTTTTATAAATGCTTTGTTCAAATGATGTTGGCTCATCCCAAAGGTGCTTGGGAATTGCCTCGGCTCTCACTGCCAAACACTCTCATGCGTGGTCCTGTGTTCAATACTACCAAACAGGATTAGGGGCCATGTAAACATTAAATTTTAAAAATGATCCCAACATAAATACTCTTTTAAAGCTAACATACCACAGCTTTAAGCTCATAATGCCCAAAGATGCCTTAATGAAATGCCATCCAAGGCTACCTCACTGTTGAAAAGGTAACGAGAGGCTCTAAAATCATGTAAACAACTTCCTCTACACTTCTCTAGAAAAATGCCAAGTGTTGCAAACTCTGATCACAAGTGGGCAGTTGAATATTAGCTCAGGTACTGTACCCTTTAGCCCAGTTGGTTGGCAGAAGTTAGTCAGAGATTGACTTGTTCCACAGGTAACGGCTCTTACATACCTTGATAACTAAACTAGTTTTCAACAGTGTTTACCCCACAAGGGGCCCCAAATGGTCCCCTCATAAGATGCCTTTGCACATCTTGCAAATACAGTTTGATTGGTTGTCAAGGAGTCATAGTTCACCACAGCCAGCACCTGCACAACCGGGGGAAGAAATGTTCTTCAGGACCTGGAATCCCAAGCACGGGTGGAAGCTTCCCAAAGTCAACTAGTGAAGCAGATTCTGAAGGAATCGTGGTTGTTTCTCTGAGGCCAACTGAGGGCTCTCAGCCCTAATGATCTGGTTGGAATTCACAGGGGCTGCCTCTGCCACCCCCCTTCCCATCCACAGGGAGGTGCCCAGAAGCTGATGACACAGAGAAAGGCTTGAGGATGCCTCAGTACCTGACAACAGTTCCCAGACTCCCTCCGTGATTGCTCACTGTGGGGCCTTTTTAGATCTGATGCCACATTCTTGGGTTTCTTCCTTGGCAGAGAGAAAGCCAAAGTCTGCAGCCAGCCTGTAACTTGTCAGTGATGATGATGCTTCTGTTCCCACTGCCAGAGCAGATGGAAGACATTCCTAGTCCCCGAGATGGGATCCTCTGCCTGGTACCCATGAGGCTTTCTTGGTGACAGACGATTGACCAATCATGGGCCAGGCTGGGTCCCAGAGAAGCACCGAACAAGGAGAGCTTGAAAGATCAACAAGGAGAGTTTGAATGACCAACGATGTTTAACCTTCATTCAGAAAAAACACCATGGAAAAACACTGCAGCCAGACTCAAGGAAACATCCTTTCTCCTCCTTGGCCAAATGTCATCAAAGACATACCTCAGAGATACTATTTAGAGGGTATTTGGAAAGGGAGGGGAGAGAAAAAATACTGTACACTGTTTTTAGGGCAGATTCACAAGGTGCAATTGCTATATATATATATATATATATATTAATTAAAAAATTCTCGGTTCCTATTTCTCAGCGACATTGGCATTATTTCTTCATGTGCAGGGCATCCTGAAACTTGGTGCTGGTGTATCGGGCGTGAAAGCCTTTTTTGTTGATGGTGTCATCCGTGTGGAAGCGAATCATCAGAGAATCCCCTGCAGAGTAGATTTCTTCCAATGGCTGGGGAAAGAAGGAAAGAAAGGCTGAAGTGTTGTACAGGCCGCAGGTGGAGCTTCAAACAAGAAGGATGAGGTGGAGAGGTAGCTCAACAGGGCACAGTGTATGGTTGGGATGTAGTAGCCCCCGACTCCATCTCAGCAGCACACAATGTCCCCTGAGCTCTGCCAGAAGTGGCCTCTGAACCATAGTGCAAAAGCATTATGTCCAAGAAAACAATGCCCACATCAAATTGGGTGTGAGGCAGACACAAAGTGAGTACGTGCCCTTGCACTTGCTCGAAGCAGGTGTGTCCTCAAACCCACAATCTAGCTTCATAAAGCGCAACAGCTGAGAGGTGAGTAACATGAGCCGGACCTGTAAAGTATTTCAGGTCACAATGGGTACCAGTCCAGGTAAACAGAGCTAGTACCCATTGTGACCTGTTTAGGAGATCTAATATGAGGTCAGGCCTTTTTCCTGTCTAAGCTGGAGTTGCTTTGTTTCTTTTCTTTTTTTTTCTTTTTACTTTTTTTTTTTGGGGGGGGTCCACACCCAGCGATGCTCAGGGGTTCTGTACTCAGGGTATTTGGAAAGGGATTCCTGGTTCTGTACTCAGGAATCACTCCTGGTGGTACTTGGAGGACCATATGGGATGCCAGGGATCAAACCCGGGTCAGCTGTGTGCAGGGCAAACACCCTACCCTCTGTACTATTGTTCCCACCCTAAGCTGGAGTTGCTCTGTTCTCTAGAAGGGGCTGGTTCCGTGGCTGATGAATGGAAGGCAGGTTCTGACACTTGTTCCCTGCCAGATACTGGCAGAGCCTTCACCAGGTTCCCGCACAGCTCACAGTTCAAGTTGCCCTTTACACCCGGAACCCACAGTCTGAAAGATTTCACAGATGTGCCTCATTTGGTTCAGTTAGGAGATTTGGCACTTTGTGGAGACTGTGGGTTGGAGGACCCCCTGCACTGAGCAAATCCACAGTATCCCCCGACTCCATCTCAGCAGCACACAATGCCCCTTTCCCAATGGCACACACTCGCTTTGTGTCCGCATCATATCTGATGATAGGGTGGGCGTGGTGTTCTTGGACATAATGCTTTTGCACGGGGGCTGAGCATGAACAAGACTTTCCTGGGCACTGGGAGAGTGAAGTATGTGTGGGACTCGCTTTGCTGTGGTGATGTGGACATAGGCCTGCCACAGCTGGGCAGTGTGCCTGCCCCCAGTCCCCGGCATGGCGTGGCACCCATCGCCATCCTTTCCCATGGGGAGGAAGACAGAAGATGAAGGGAAATTATATAAAGACTCTCAATGCCAGTTTGAGGTTCCGTGTTTTGGGGCAGAGTGTTGGACTGCCCTCAGCAATACTCAGGGTGGATACTCCTAGATCTGTGCTCAGGGGTCAGTCCTGGTGGCACTTAGGGGACCATATGGTGATGGAGATCTAACTGGGGTTGGCAGCTTGCAAGGGAAATGCTTTACTACCTCCTGCCCTATCTTTCCAGCCCTCATTCTATTAGTTAAAGGGACATTTGCATCCTTCCTGGGCTAGTTTCCAAAGCTACTGATCCACTACCTCTGTTTGAGCCATCCTAGGAAAGTTAAGACTATGGGATTGAGTGGAGACAGATGGAAGCAGGAAGGGCCAGTGCTAGGAAGAGGGCGCTAAAGACCTTCCCTCATTCTGAGGGCTGGGGCACTGGAGGGTCCCCTCCATGAAGAATATCACTTTCCTTCCTGATGGGTGGGGGGTGGCCCTTTGGAACAGCACAATGAATTTTAAGTCTTATGGGTGCCCAGGATTGTCTCTTTGTCCTTGTTTAGGAAATTCCCACCAGAAGACAGCAATAAATCAAGTAGCACACCTTGAGATGGGGAAAACTGTTCACGCTAGGGACCCAGTAGAGCTTGTGCTCAGAACAGAGGTGAGAGCTACATCTTATACACCGTCTCATGAGGGTTGGGGCATTGGCAGGCCGCCGGCAGGAGGGTACAGAAGGAAAAATGCCAGAGCATGCTATTGTGACCACCTCAGGGACATGAGCACATGTGGCATATGCTCCCAGGTTACCCAGGACACAAAGTGAGATTGGGACCAGCTTAAGGCCATCCTGAATGTACCCCATGTGTTGCTCAGACTCAACTGCCCCTGGGCAGGTCCTGCTCCATGACCTTCACCTGCTTAACATCAGCCTGTGAGTGGGGGGCTGGGTGGGGGGGGGTCTCTCTTCCTCCGCATCCTGAGGTTCAGTTTAGCACAAGCAGCTCTGGCGACTCTGAACACTCTAAGTTCAGGCAAAGAGAAAGGTGCTTGAGTGGAGTAATCTGGAGGCAGAGGGAAGGGGAGGGCAAGGTGCCACACCAGGGTAGTGGCCAGCGCGCTACAGGCCGAGAGGGACCGGCTGCCTGTCCTGGCCACTGGGTATGAACCATATGCCAGCCCCGATGCCAGGCGATAAGAGCAGATGGCGGGCCGGCCTTGTCCATGACAGTGGCCCTGGAGAAACAAGCAGGAGGCAGCAGGGAGGAGCTGGAGCAGAACTACCCTGTTAGCAAGGGGCCAGCGATGGCTCCCACGGCTCTTTGGTTCTGTTTGGGGAATAAACTGTGAACATATGAAGTAGGGAAAAGGACCATGCATTTCCTCACGTCTGAAGTTCACATGCAGATGGAAAGAAGGGAGTGCTCTGCACAAACAAGAGCAAAGGCCTCGGAAGAAAATGCTTTTGATCTTAAGCGGAACCTTCATCAAGGGCTCCAGGGCCCTCCTTCCCTCTGTCTGTCCTCCCCGGTTCCCCTCTCCTTCCGGGAACCAGCAGTCAGAGGCTCTCAGACTTCTCTGTCTTAGCACCCCATTATTTATTATTATTATTATTATTTGCACGAGCGGGCCCAGTAACGTCTCCATTGGAGACTTTGTTGTTACTGTGTTTGGCATATCGAATACTCTCGGTAGCTTGCCGGGCTCTCCGAGAGGGGCGGAGGAATCGAACTCGGGTCGGCCATGTTGGCCGCTTGTAAGGCGAACGCCCTACCGCTGTGCTATCGCTCCAGCATTTTGCAATGCTCCAATGAATCCTTAAAATGTATGATTTGCAAGGATATCCAGCTTCTGTTTTATAGCTCATGGTGCTAACCACAAAATATACATACATTTGAAATGAAAGTCGACGGAATAATTACAGATCATACAGGTCACAGGTTATTCAGACAGGAGCAGAGTGTTGCCAAAGCAAATGGAAGTGTCCCACCATTTGCCAGGTGGCCAGTTTCTGTGAAAACTGCAGTGAGTCAAATCCTCTTGGGCTCAGCAGAGACAGACCGAGCAACGCAGAGGGCCACCCCCAGCCTGGCTGTAAACCTGATTTAAAATCTTTCCCCTCCCCCCTCCTCCCCCATAGCACCCCCTTTTCAGAAAAAAGAAAATCTACCAGCCTATCTCTTTATCTCTACCACAACCTAGGAATGTGTCCTCTATAAGCAAATGGAAAGCACCTCCAATTGCACAACACTCCTTCTAGATCATTCCAGCACCCCCCCAAACAAAACAAAACAAAACAAAAACAAACAAACAAACAAAACAAAGTGGCTATGCTGTTTTTTTTTTTCGGGTTACACCCGGCGATGCACAGAGGTTACTCCTGGCTCTGCACTCAGGAATTACTCCTGGAAGTGCTCAGGGGACCCTATGGGATGCTGGGAATCAAACCCGGGTCGGCTGCGTGCAAGGCAAACACCCTACCCACTGTGCTATTGCTCCAGCCCCACTTTGGGAAGCGAACTGCAGCTGAGTGGGGCTCCTGGGTGGTCCCGGAAGAGGCCGGGAGCCAGTCTTGAACCCTTCCCTACCATGCACAGGTGAGTGCCCCCTGGCCCGCCCTGCCACCACTCACCCCGGAGCCGCAGAAGCGGCCGAGCCGGGGCGCCGTGCTGTCATAGCCGTCGTAGGCCTCCATGTAGTCATAGCCGCAGTCCGCCTCCTCCTCCACCTCAAAGGTCCGGAAGATGAGCTCCACGCCGTAGCCGTCCTCCGCCACGATCACCCAGTCACAGTGCGCCTGGCTCGGGTAGTTGTTGTCCCCGAACTGGGCGTGGGAATAGAGCTCTTTGGTCTGCACGTCGGCCTTCAGCCGACCCCCGCATTCTGCAGCAGAGAGAGAAGCCCGATGCGTGGACCCTGCCTGCTCCCCCCACTGGGGGACGCTCTTCTCCCCTCCCGCCGGCCAACTGGACTCATCATTTGTCTCACGAAAGTGACTAGAGCTTTTGCACACAGGGGATAGCCAGTCTCAGGCTGGCCCACGGGAGTCCTTGGGGAGGCCCAGAATAGCTGACTTGCTGGAATTGGGCCCAGTTGGCCAACAGGGGTCACCACAGCACCTCATGGGTTGGGGGTTCCACCCTGGCACCCCAGACAGGCTGCATTTGAGAGGACCACAGGCCGGGGTGTGGAGGCGTGAGGATCTCGGGTCAGGATCTCTCATTTGCTGGTCGTGCTTTCTGGGTGTTTGCTAGGATAGCAACTCTGCCAAGCCCAGGACTGGACACTCAGCAGCGCAGAGACCAGGGCCTGGAGTCCACGTGACCAACAGATGAGGCTAACCAGAGATCAGAAAGGCCCACAAGCACCAGCGGCAGAACAGTGGGTATTCGCTCCATAATCCCTTTCTCCCTGACCTCTCTCCAGCCCCCTCGGTGAGCTTCTGCAATGATCTGAAATCCCCAGCCGGGCACCAGCTGTCCGCCAGCCCGCCCAGTCCTGATCCACACTCACTCCGAGCCCCACTCACGCTCTGGGGTAGACTTGTCCAGGGCTGAGCAAACATGTCGGGATTCAGAATTCCAGAGATGAGGGATGTGAAGAAATGTCCCCTGTCCACCCTGCTCTCTGCTCCACCCGTGCCGGCAATACTCCTTGTCCTCTGCCCTGTGGCTGGGTTCAGGTGTGGGGGTCGGGCAGAGCGAGGTGGGGTATCTGGTCCCAGGCTGCCTCCCTGCCGGGTCGTCAGGGGCTCTGATCTTCACCCAGCTCTTGCCTGAGGGTGCTCTGCACGGACCCCTGTCTCCGGGCTCAGGAGCTGCTCCTGTCCGCCTCCCCCTCCACTCCTACTGTCCAGGGCATCCAGGCTGTCCTAATTCCCAGCCTTCTCTCTCGACACCCTGCCCAGGCCTGTGCCAATCATCCCTTATTAAATTCTCCTCCAATCAATGACCAGGTCGGTTTGCCCCGGTTTCCTGTCAGAGTTCTGACCCGCCCCCTGTGTACTGTCTTTAGGCTCAAGAGGGTGAAGTAGTTCGACCATGGCTTTTAGCCTTGCCAGGGAGAAGACAGAAGCCCCAGGGGAGCTGGAGAAGGGGGGAGGGGTCAGTCACCAGGGCCTGGGGCAAGAGAACCGCTTAACGCTATGCATGGTAACTTTAATTTGATTCCTAGTTTCCGGCTATGAAAAGCAAATGGAGGACGGGGTGGGGTCAGGGTATCTGAGGAATCTGGGACCCCCACCAAGGGGGGGGGGGCAGTGGCTGTGATCTCCAGCTCCTCCCAGGAACCCCAGAGTCCCCCTCTTTGCATGAGGCTCCCAACCTCTAACGGGGTATGGGGGTAGGGCATGGGGGGGGGGCAGGACCCAGGGGTTGTGCTTCCATTGGCAGAGGGCAGAGCTGCCGGCATCTCCTCCTGGCACCTCTGTCTTTACTAAGCAGATGCACAAGTTACAAGCCCAACAGTTTCCTCGCAAGGCCCAAATAAAGCCCTGGACGTTTGCTGCAGAGGAAAAGGTGGGGGCAGACACACTTTTTCGGCTCTGGAACCAGTCCCTGGAATGGGGAAAGGGCTATTCTTGGTCCCCAGACGTCCGGGTGTCTCAAAACGGCGAGAAGTGAGGAAAATTTTCAAAAGATGGGGCAGGCAGAGGGGAGGGAGAACAGGGCAGGGCAGGCCACTTCAAGTGCTGTCCACTGAGGATGTGAGACAGACCCACCCTGTGCCTTGGGGTGGCCCTCGCTTCGTTCTAAAGGACCACTGCATCTCACATCTCCCCGGCCGCCGCCTACCGGTGCTGTGCTGGGCCTGGAAACCTCTCCTCTGCACCGAGGCGTCCGAGTGGAATCTGAGCAGCAGGTTACTGCCCGACGCCACCACAGGCTCAGGCTTCCTGTTGCCACAGAAGCGGCCCAGGACAGGGGCCAGGCTGTCGGGGCCGTCGTACAGCTCCACGTGGTCGTAGGCACACTCCTGGTGCTGCTCGATCTCAAACTCATTGAACGTCTGGGGAGGAGTGAGTGAGAGTGAGGCAAGCGGCTTCCATCCAGGAGCGACCCCCCCCCCCACCCTCTTGGGGGCTGGGAGACTCGGGCCCAGGCTGGCTGCCTCTTCTGCAGCTAATTGGGGGGCAGAGCCCCCAGCCTTCCGGTCCCTCCATGAGCTGTTGCTGCAGAGAGCAGTCAGGGCTCAGAGTTCCAACCCTGGCGTGCTCCCAGCATCCTCATGTTGTTCCTCAGCATCTCACACTGCTGGAAACGCTTCCCAAGTCTCCCCTCATGGATGCCTCTCAACCCTGTGCTGCGCTGGCCATCTGAGTCCCACTTCACAGCTGAGGAAACTGAGGCACGGACTGTCAGCTGACGTGGACAAGGACACGCATTGGTGTGGCTGAACTCCTTCCCCCTGCCCTTCCCCCTGCCCTTCCCCCTGCCCCAGGTGCGTGTCTTCATCAAGCTGGGCTGATGGTCCTTGAGCATTTTTTTTTTTCTAGACAGGGATCTGTGCATTTTTAAATTCTGATAATGCTGTGAGGGAAACTAGGATTACTCCCTAGTGGGCATCAAAGGAAACTGAGTCTTAAGGAAGCGAAGTGGCTGGCCCCACCTTTGCAGGGAGGGAGGAGGAAGCCCTGGACTCCGGCCTGCCTGATTCCAGCCTGCTCCCTAACCAGCAGTATATGGCCTGTCTCCACCTTGTCCCCTCTAAAGCCTGTTGCGGAAAGCTGACCGGGGATGGGTGTGTGTGTGGGGGGTCCGTCCCACAAATCCCAGCTCCACAGCACACTGTGAATCCCCTAAGACAGCCTTCTCAGACTCGGGCAGGTGACCAACCGATGGCCTATCCATGGTTACAAGGGATAAGGGACGAGGTGAGAGGGGACAGCATTCTTTGAAGTCACAGCAAATGACAGAGCTGGGAGACAGGGCATTAGCTGAGGGGGGTGGGGGTAGCGGGGGGGGGGTGGCAGGGCAGGGCTGGGTGGGAAGAAGAAGCAGAGGAACCACAGAAGGGTCGTTTTCATGAGCAGGACAGATATGACTGGACCAAGAAAAAACCCTCCCCCCAGGGAAAGGTACAGGGGGCCAGGGAGAGGGAGGAGCAGCAGGACAGAAGCAGGAAGGGGGGGGGGGCAGTGCACCAACGGGAGGGAGTGGGACGTGGGCCACAAGGCAGGAGCTCCCAAAGGTCAAGGGGTCGCTGCTGCTGTCCCCAAGAAGCTGTCTAATTCTCATTATCTACCCATTAGACACTATTTGGGCTGGAGCAATAGCACAGCGGGTAGGGCATTTGCCTTTCACGTGACTGACCTGGCTGACCCGGGTTCGATTCCTCCGCCCCTCTCGGAGAGCCCCACAAGCTACCGAGAGTACCTCGCCCTCATGGCAAAGCCTGGCAAGCTACCCGTGAAGTATTCGATATGCCAGAGAGTAATAAGTCTCACAATGGAGACGTTACTGGGCCCGCTTGAGCAAATCGATGAACAGTGGGAGGACAGTGCTATGCACTGTCTAAGAAAGTTTCGAAAATCCTAATACAGGACCAGAGAAACAGGCTGAGTACATGCTCTGCACACAGGAGGCCTGGGTTAGATGTCCACCACTGCAGGGTACCCTGAGCTCTGCCAGGAGCAATTCCAACCACGGGAAGTAGCCTGTGAACACTGCCAGGTATGGCCCCCAAATGAAAACACAAACTGAGGCCAGAGAGATAGCACCATGGGCAGGGTGCTTGCAGAGCAAGAGGCTGACCTGTGTTCGATCCCTGGCACCACATATGGCTTCCTGAGCCCACCAGGAAGAAGTCTGTCAGGTGTGGCCCCCCTCAAAAAACAAAACCAAAATAAAACATAAACCTAGTAAAGGAAGTTGAGTCAATAAGACAGGAGTCATCGAGAACAGATGACTGGTTAAAGAAACTTTGGTACACCTACAAAATGGAGTACTATGTAGCTGTTAGAAAAGATGAAGCCATAAAATTTACATACAAGTGGTATTACATGGAAAGTATCATGTTAAGTGAAATGAGTCAGAAAAAGAGGGATAGACATAGAAAGATTGCATTCATCTGGGGAACATAAAGTGACAAAATAGGAGACTAACACCCAAGAGTGGCTGGAATTAGTACCAGGAATTTTGCTCCATGGCTTGGAGGCCAGCCACATATTCTAGGGATAAGGGAGCTCAGATAGAGAAAGGAGCACCAAATAAAGGGTGTTGGGAGGATCCTCCCAGGATGGCAGAAGCATGCTGAAAGTAGACTGTAGACCAAACATGATTGCCACTCAATGCCTCTTTTGCAAATCACAACACCCAAAAGGAGAGAAAGAAAAAAAGGGAATATCCTGCCACAGAGGCAGGGTGGGATGGGGGGTGGGGGGTGGGAGGGATACTGGGACCTGTGGTGGTGGAAAATGGGCACTGGTGGAGGTATAGGTGTTTGAATATTGTACAATTGAAACCCAAGCACAAAATTTTGTAAATCTACAACTGTACCTCATGGTGTTTCACTAACAAAAATTTTTAAAAAATGTAAATGATGGAGAATGGGCACTAATGGAGGGATTGGTACTGGATCATTGTATAACTGAAACCCAAGCACAAAAATTTGTAAGTCTACCACTGTACCTCATGGTGTTTCACTAAAAAAAAAAAAAAAGACAGGGGTCAGGGGCATTGCATAAGTCACACCTTCAGCACTGCGGGGTCCCCTAAGCATTTCCTGGGGGGCCTGAGCCTTGAATTTTTTAGCCTCATGGGCTGATTATGGCAAGAACAGATCCCCAAAGTCCCCTGAGCACTTCTTAAGAGGACCCCAAAATAACATTTAAAAATTGAATAAATATATGCTACATATATGAACCTCAGATGAATTTTATTGAGATCTGGGCTAACTTGACTCACTGCAATTGCTTGTTTTAGTTTGCCTTTGCCTTTTATGGCAACGGTTAAGGCATTGCCCTCACACAAGTCCAATTTGCCAGCACCCAGCCCCAGGGGAAGCCATACCCCCACCATCAGCAGTTAACGTTGTCATTGCCAACACTGTCCAGCAGATGGCAGTGTTGGAGAGGGAGTGCCATGTCCAATCACTTCCAGCCACTTCACCTGGAGTGAGCCCCAGAGTGAGCCCCAAAGGTTTTCCCACTGAACAGCCATGGACCAGGAGCTCTCTGTGAGCACCCTGTGATCAAGGACCCCTTTCCTTAAGCCCTAAATGCCCAATCCTGGGAGGCCATTTACCCACCGGACCTCCACTGTCTCGCCAGGCGATCATCTGCGTTACTGGTCTGTAACTCATCCCAGAGTCAGAACACTTGAAATGCTATCTAGAGCACAACTTTCCTAGGGGCAAGAGGGCTTGTTCTACCTCCTAGATCTGATCTGGAAGTCCCTGGGAGCTGGGAAATGAATCTCAAGAGACTCCTTCTCTGCAATACCCAAGCAAGTGTGTGTGTGTTGTGTGTGTGTGTGTGTGTGTGTGTGTGTGTGTGTGTGTGTGTGTGAGGGGGAGCATGTCATTTGCTGATTGCAATTTTAAACATGCATAGAACTTCCAAGAAAGGCTGGAATAAATATATTTTTAATTCAAGAGAGAATTAGCTTAAGGAATTCAATATCCTATGGGGAACTGGAAAAAAAATCAGCTAAGTAATGGAAGAACCTGAATAAAACTAATCTACTTGAGAAGTCTAAGTGAAAATGGATATCTTTCCCCCTCTCCCCCGTGCATGTACATACATGGTTATTTTGCATAGAAGATTTCTGAAAAGGTTACAAGAAAATGTTCAGAACGGTTGTTTTTAGAAAGGGGGAATCAGAAACGGTTGATTTCTACTTTCTAATTCCTTGCAACCAGTTGCATTCCCTGAATTCTGCACCCATAATGAGTTGCTTTAAGAAAGATTAAAACAGGGCTGGAGCAATAGCACCGCAGATAGGGTGTTTGCCTTGCATGTGGCCGACCCGGGTTCGATTCCCAGCATCCCATATGTTCCCCTGAGCACCGCCTGAGAGCAGGGTCAGGTGTAACCCAAAAAGAAAAAAAAAGATTAAAACATAACAACTGAGTCTGGAGTGCAGCACTAGAGATGGAGGCGGTGTCAATGAACAGGTGCTTCACCGACCCCCAGGGCAGAGGGCTTAATGTACAACGGCCATGGGAGGGGAGGGCTTCTCTGGCACCCCTATTTCTCACACAATGCAACTGCAAGTGTTGCTTAAGCCTCTTCCCCAAGCCTCAGAGTTGGGATGTGGGGAAGAGGAGTTTCAAATGTGTGTCTGGCTGATCCCAAAATCCACGGCACTCATAAATGAGGGAAGGCACTCACAAGTTTCACCCTGTGACCTGCAGTGGAAGAGATGTTCCAGGTACACTCCCTCCGGCTGGGGTACTTGTCAGGCCAGTTCGGGCTTGCCAGGGTCCCCTCTGCACTGCTGATCTTGTGTGCACAGCCAGCTGGGAGGGCAGGGATGACACAGAGACACAAAAAGGGGAGAGGGAGGGAGGGAGGGAGGGAGGGAGAGAGAGAGAGAGAGAGAGAGAGAGAGAGAGAGAGAGAGAGAGAGAGAGAGAGAGAGAGAAAGGGGGAGAGAGAGAGAAAGGGGGAGAGAAAGAGTGAGAGAGAGAGATGTTATTCACTTGTGGCCAGTCTCAGAGGCTTTCTAGAACAATTTCCTCCCTGCATCTCATCTGCCACATGGTCATTAGTAAGGGTGGGGTCAGGGATCAGCCTGATCAGCTGTCACTGGTTCTATTTTTTTCCTGATTCATCCGCCTTTGCTGTCCGCTAGCTGTGGTCAGGAACTGGGCCATCTTTCTTACTATCATAATTCAGATGTGGTTATTAGTGGGAATCAGTAGTGGATGGTTGAGATCAAACGAACCCCAGTTTAAGTCTTGGTTCCATCACCCACAAGCTGTGGGATTCTGGGCACTTCCATAAACTTTGGTGTCCTAGTTTATAAAAATGGAACCAATTTGGCTGGGGAGATCTGTGGATGAATGAAATAATGAATGGAAAAGGCTGTCGTGAGTGCGAACTAATCTCCTCAGGGGCCAGGGAGGTGACTCCGTGATGCACAACTGTCTCGCACACATGGGGTCCCGGGTTCAATCCCCAACACCGCAGTAAATAAATAACGCCTTATTTTTTGGTGTTTCGAGCTGAGAGATATGTCAGCAGGCTGAGAACAGGGTCTGCGTGCAGAAGGCCAGGTCTATGGGTTCCCAAAGCAAACCCAATAAAAAAATCTCCTCCTTTACAGCACAGGCTTTCTGTCTATTTCTTTCAGACTTGAAAACCAGTTTTGTTTGGAGCCCACAGATGCTGCTCTGGTTCCGTGCCACGAGCGGAGAGTTTGGAGCCGACAGACGTTGCTCTGGTTAGCAGCCAGCGGACTCACAAGTTGTCCATGTGCAGTACTTTAGCTCGAACTGGGCCGCCTTCCCATCAGGCAGGCGCTGGGCATTTGAAAGACTTCCACTCTGGAATCCTTCCTACTTCTGAGCGACAGGGTGGCATGGTGCTGCCACCCTGTCTGACAGCAGCCCTGTGGCCGAGGCTAATGGGGAGGGGGCAGCAAAGTACTGGGTGCTGGGGGGACAGAGCAGAGGCTCCACTCTCCCAGGAACTGAAATAGACAGGAGCAGCTCACCCCGCTCCCAGGATGTGCTCCCACGCCCCAGGCTGCCACTGCCCACGTGGAGAATGACTCGCCCTCCCTCTCCCTCCTGTCCCCTGACACAGAGGCCTTCTTCTGACCCAGGCCCACCTCACAGGGTTCATGTCATTTGCAGAATCATAGTTCCTCCCAGTTCTCCCAACCAACCCATTCCAGCCCACGGCCACCGTGTCCATGTCCTGGGCTGCGTGTGCTTCTAAAGATGGTTCAGCTCTCCTCTCCTGATGCCAACCAACCTGCAGCCCTCTGCCAGTCCAGGTCTGTGAGCACTTGTGGCTGAGTCCCCTCAATAGGGTGCATAAGAGCTCAAGGGATGCTCCTTCTAGAACAAATGGACACTTAAAGCACCGGCCCCATGAAGGGCTCCGGGGAGAGACAGGAACAGGGAGTCTTCCCATCCTGCGGATGATGAATAGCATCACGACATAGTTCCTAACCCTTAGCGACATTCCTAGCGTTTAATATGTGTCAGACTGAAAAATTTTCTAGGCATTTGCTCATGTAATCCTCACAAAAAAATTATTTAGGGGTATATGTCTAGCTTCCCTGTTTTTGTTTTTTCGTTTATTTTTGGTTGGGGGGAACACCTGGTGGCAATTCCCAGCTCTGTGCTCAGGGATCACTCCTAGAGGACTTGGAGGACCCTATCTGGTGCTGGGGACTTGAACTAGGGTCGTGGCCACATGCAAGGCAAGTGCCCAGCTCCCTGTACTATCTTTCCGGCCCAGTGCCCCTTTGTAACAGAAAAAACAGCCTTTAGAAGGTTTAATAATTGACCTCAGGAGGCAAGAGCACATACTCTGCATACAGGAGCCCCAAGTTTGATCCCCGGCACTGTCTGGTCCCTTGAGCACCAATGGGTCCCTTGAGCACCCTGGGCACCTCTAGATGTGACCCAGAAACAAACAAATAATAAAAACTGACCTTAGTTAAGGAGAGGCACACAGCAAGGAAGGGGCGAGCAGCGCAGGGTGTCAGGGAGGGGACGTCTGGCTCTCAAGCCAGGAGCGGGTGGAGCACTTTGCCGTGATAACCCCAGGGGACCCCTGAGCCCCCGTCCCCTGTGCTCACCCTCTTTGCAGTCGTGCCCATTCTCGTGGAGCCGGAAGCCGTTCCTGCACCGGCACAGGTAGCTCCCAAACGTGTTGACACACTCGTGCTGGCACCCGCCGTTGTCCTTGGCACACTCGTCCTTGTCTGGGGAGACCGACAGACACTCCTGAGAGGAGCCGTGGACCTGGAAGCGCCCTCGCTGCTCAGAACCTGCTGGAAGGGGAGGGGACCCCACCAGCCCCCCCCCACACACACAGTGCCCCACTCATCCCTTCCTCCCGGGACACTCATTCTTGGATGTTGGGGTGTTATTTGGCTCTGGCATGCCCCTAAATCATCTATCTAGCTATCTACTATCATCTATCTATCCCTTAATCCATCTCTACCTTTATCGCTTCCCTGCCTCTTTCCTTGCCACAACAAGGCATTTTTAAAAAGATACAAATAAAGATGACCAAAAAGTAACAGTAATGGGGCTGGAGCAGCAGGTAGGGTATTTGCCTTGCATGCAGCCGACTTGGGTTCAATCCCCGGCATCCTATATGGTCCCCCAAACACCACCAGGAGTAATTCCTGAGCACAGAGACAGGAGTAACCCCTGAGCATTACTGGGTGTACCCAAAAAGCAAAATAATAATAATAATAATAATAATAATAATAAAATTTTTTAAAAAGGTAACAGTAATAAAAGTAACTGTAACTCCGGAGTAGTAAGGATCTGCTCAGTCACAGGCACCACCTTAAGCGCTTCCTATCACCTGCCTCCATTCTCACACAACCAAATGAGGGAGGTGGCTCAGCTCCCATTGGACAGGGAAGGAAACTGAGGCACACTGAGCTGGGTTGGGCTCCTGCCCCCGCACTCACAGCCCTCACTGCATGTCAACTAGCCCTGCCCCACTCCTTCTGGCTGTGCTAACCTGGAGACACCCTGGTTCTCAGGGCTCAGTGTCCCCTCTGAGGGACATGGACAGTGCCAGGGGGCTTGGACATGGAGCTGACGGTGCACAGGTCAGTCTCCCGCGGGCAGCAGGCCCTGTCACTGCCAGTCGCAGCTCCTCCGAGACGGTGCCTGACTCCACGTCTCAGTGCTGTGGTCACTGCGGTTCTTACAGCAGGAGCGTCCACGGCACTTGAGCCTCTCTTCATCCAACTCAGCCCTGCAGCCACCGGGCACTGACCACCCTTCCCAACCTTCGTTGCATCAGGAACTTCAGGGACACCTGTCTGTGGCTGTTCGTCTGCCCTGAACCCTTGGGATTCTCCCTTCATCCTCCTGTGTCACCCGGGCAGCTAAGAACATTTGACGAACCATCCAAGAACAGAGGTGAGGGGCTGGGGAGGTGGCTCGGGGAGGGGGAGGGGACTCACATCCCACATGCATGAGGCCCTGGGTTCCAGCCCCCGAAACAGGCTGCAGAAGCATCCAGCAATGATGCCCCAGGAACAGGGAGCAGGGGGGAGTGGGAGAGTGCTCCTCTGTGGCTGCAGAGGAGCACCGTCCTGCCCACACGCAGTTTCCAGACTCTACACTGGGGAGAGTAGCAGCCTGAGCTTCCTGTTTGCTGGCAGTGCTCTGTTATGCAGCCCAAGTGCCCAGCAGTCCCCAGGACAGAACAGTCCAGACTCCAGGCTGTCACCTGCCAGGTGGGCAGACCTTCAGGGCAGCGGTGGAGCAGCTGAGATGGGACCAAGGGGCAAGGGCTATACCCCTGGCCATGGCTTCGCCTCCCAACCAGCACACCTGAGAAGAAGTGGGCCCGGAAGCCGCGTTTGGAGACCGTGTTGTCAGACTTGAACTCCACACGCATGTTGTTGCCTTGAGACGTGACGACTTCGGGGGTCTCAGAGCCGCAGAACTTGCCCTGGAGCCTGGCGTCTGCAGAGAGGCCGCTGCGTACCTCCACAAAGTCGTACTTGCATACCTGCAAGGCAGCACCATCAGGACACCCGCCACCCTCCGCCGTCCCCTGCAACACCCCCTTCCTGACCGCGCCTGCCTACCAGCTTGGTCCACCCCCTTCCTGTCCCCCCTCCCATCTCCAGGTGCCTAAGTGGGTAGAGCTGAGTGTCGCCCTGCCAGGGCCTCGATAGACGTGGCCACCCCGTGATCTGACGGCTTCCAGCCACCCACCTTTCGTCCCCCCTCTCAGCTGTACACTAACCTGGACTGCTGGCCCAGGGGACATGCCTATTCTGACCGACCTCAACTGTCTCTGGATCGATTTGCAATGCATGGTTCTCAGGGCCTTTGTGTGCAGAGCAAGCACGTCCCAGACCCTCCCCCAGATTTCAGGCTCTGGGAGCCATGCTGCCCGCTTGCTGATGCCCGCCTAGTGGACTCCAGCTCAGAGCCACGTCCTCACACAACCCCACAATCTCCCCATACACTGCAGCCCAGGAACGTACATCATTGCCCTCCAGTTCAAACACTTCAAACTGCAGGGCGATGCGGTACTGAGCAGGGGCCACCACCTGCCACACGCAGTTCTTGTTGGTAGGATACTCCTTCGGCCACCCGGGGCTGGTGATGGTTCCGTTCAGCTTGGTAATGAAACCGCCGCAGGCCACTGCACGGACAAACAGAAGCAAGACTCATTTGGTCTGAGTTAGAGTGACTGCGATCTTCCCAGCAGCAATGAGCCCTGCTGCTCTTTAATAATCCTAACTGGATGACTGGAGTCCATTAATTCAGTGTCCTTTCTTCTAGTCTGTTTCAGTGGAGGCTTTTTAAGGAAGAAGTTGAGAATAAGTCTTTTTTGATGTTTTGGTTTTTGTTTGGGGGTGCCATACCTGGCTGTGCTCAGGGGTTACTCCTGCCTCTGCATTCAGGAATTACTCCTGGTGGAGCTTGAGGGACCATATGGGATGCCAGAGATCAAATCTGTGTTGTCTGTGCCCTACCTGCTGTACTATTTGCTTCCGCCCCGAGGATAAATCTTTACCATTTAAAAAAATGATGAGGCATTTGTGCTTGCCTGTCACCTGGTGGCAGATTTGGGGATACTTCAAAACTTGGGCCAAAGGAGAATTAGAAATGTTTGCAGTTGGGCTGGAGAGATAGTACAGCGGGTAATGCACCTGTGGTCATCCAGGGTTAGATGCATGTGGTCCCCTGAGCCCGGCAGGAGTGATGCCTGAGAGCAGAACCTGAAGTAAGCCCTGAGCACCACTGGGTGTTGTCCCAAAACAAAAGGAAGGGAAGAAGGGAAGGAGGAAGGGAGGAAGGAAGAAAGGAAGGAAATGATAGAAGGAAAGGATGGATAGGAAGGAAAGAAGGAAGAAAGGGAGGGAGGAAGGAAAGAGGAAGGGAGGAAGGGAGGGAGGTAGGAAAGGAGGAAGGACGGAAAAGAGGGAGGAAGGAAAGGAGAAAGTAAGGAGGAAGGAAGGAAGAAAGGAAGGAAGGAATAAAGGAAGGAAAGAAGGAAGTAAGGAAGAAAGGAAGGAAGGAAAGAAGGAAGGAAGAAAGGAAGGAAAGAAGAAGGGAAGGAAGGAAGAAGGAAGGAAGGACGGAAGGAAGGACGGAAGGAAAGAAAGGAAAAGAGGGAGGGAGGAAAGGAGAAAGTAAGGGGGAGGGAAGAAAGGAAGGAAGGAAAGAAGGAAAGAAAGAAGAAAAGGAAGGAAGGGATGGAGGAAGGAAGGAAGGAAGGAAGGAAAGAAGGAAGGAAAAGAGGGAGAGAAGAAGGGAGAGAGGAAGAAAGGAAGGAAAGAAAGAAGGAAAGAAGAAGGAAGGAAGGAAGGAAGGAAGGAAGGAAGGAAGGAAGGAGGGAGGGAGGGAGGGAGGGAGGGAGGGAGGAGGGAGGGAGGGAGGGAGGGAGGGAGGAAGGAAGGAAGGAAGGAAGGAGGGAGGGGGGAGGGAGGGAGGGAGGGAGGGAGGGAGGGAGGAAGGAAGGAAGGAAGGAAGGAAGGAAGGAAGGAGGGAGGGAGGGAGGGAGGGAGGGAGGAGGGAGGGAGGGAGGGAGGGAGGAAGGAAGGAAGGAAGGAAGGAAGGAAGGTAGAAAAGAAAGAGAGAAGGAGGAAGGGAGGGATGTTTGGAGGCACTGTGCCTGGTCCTGGCACAGAGGAACAGGCAGAGACACGTGGGGGAGTGAGGTGCAGGTAGGCAGGGACAGAGCACACAGCCCAAGCACGCATAACTTGTTCTTGGTTGTTCCTTGTCCCCTTAATAATATGACTTCTGCTCAAGAGAAGCAACCAGCAGCAGAGTCTGTGTGGCTGTGTCACCTCTCTCTCACAATTTGTGGCTGGAAACTGACTTCCTCTGCCTCATGAGCAGCCTTCCCCCCCACAACTGCCCACAGATCCTGCAGTTGCCCCAGCGGACCTGCTGCTCCCAAGACCTGTCCCCACCCTGCCTCGTTTGAGCTGGCTGTCCAGCACCCACCTTCACAGGTCTTCTTATCAGCAGCCAGTTCAAAACCAGGGTCACAGGCACACCTGTAGCTGCCCAGCGTGTTCACGCACTGCTGCTCACACCCACCGCGGTCCAGCCAGGAACACTCATCCACTTCTGTTGGGAAGCAAGGAGACCCCGTCAGACCATCAGAGCTGCCCACTCTGTCCCTCCCACATCCTGGGGTCTCCGGCAAGAGTCCTCTAAGAACAATAGTGGCTCCTGGTGACATCCTCCCAAGAGCCCCATGCTCACATCTTGGAAACCAGCAACAGCTCCAGAAGAGATGCCTCAACAGGCTGTCACGGGCTTTGCTTGTTGGAGGCCTGGGTTCCAGCCCTGGGGAGCCATGGTCCCCCAGATACTGCCTGGTGTCACCTCCAAGCACAAATCCAGGAGCACGGCAAGGTGTGTGTTCCCCAACACACACACATATGTGTATAATGTATATATACATATATAAAAATATAGATATGGTGATTTGCTGGTCAGAGGCAGGGCTCTTCAGAGTGGGGAACATGCTCAGATCTCTGCATTCTTGGATAGTTACAGTCAGTAGCATTCATATGATCAAAAATATATATATTAAAGGCTCCAAATCCAAGGCATAAATCTTTTTAAGGCTATAGAATGGACGGTTCCTCCACTTGCTATAAATGTGAAACTTCTCAGGGAAATTAGATATAGGGTGGGGACAAAGGGACACCTTTCCAGATGAAAATGTTCAAGTACTCCTTAGGCAGGGAATTGGAACTGCGAGTTAGCGTGTTATAACTCTAAGAGGTGTCATTGGAGAGATGGCCACGACAAGAGAAATCAGAGTTGCAAACAGCAAGAAGGAGGGCACCGGAGAGGGAGGCGGGTGAGCTGCCCATCGAGGTCAGGACCAGTTCCCCAGCAGGCCAGCCCACAGAGCACTGACGAGAAGTCAAATCCAAGCACTGAGACTGAGAAGCAAGAGGAAAAAGACACCCCGTTTCCTGTGGCCACTTTGTGGCAGCTTTCACCTGAAAAGACGGCACGTGGGCTGGGGTCTCATGAAGCTAGAAAACGCAGGGAAAAGAAAAATGAATGTGGAGTCTTCTTCCTCCACAGAAAGCCTGATCCTCCCCCCAAAAAAGTCTGGTTGAAGAAAAGGTGGGAGGGGGGAGGAGTGGAGAGGGATGGTTCCTAATCCCATGAAAGAGGACAAGGAAGCATGGGCTGCCACCAAACCTTGATGGCACGTAAAAGGAATCACGACATTTCAGAGTTGGTGAAAACCCAAAGACAACAGGGTTTTTTAAAATCCTATTTAACCTCTGATTAAGAGCTTTTAATTTTATTAATTGGGGTGGGGGGCATGCACAGTGGTGCCCAGTGCTACTCCCAGTTCTTTGCTCAGGGAACCTTGTGGTCCTAAGGATTGCACTGGGGCTGGCCACATGCAAAGCAGGTACCTTGACCCCTGTATGAGCTCTCTGGCCCTGATGGAGGACTTTTTAGACTTAAGAAAACACTGACATAGGACTCTCAGTTTTTCCTTTTTTGGCTTTTGGGTTACACCCAGCATTGCTCAGGGCTTATTCTTTATTTTTTTTGGGGGGGGTGCGGTGGTTGGATCACACCCAGTGAAGCTTAGTGGTTACTCCTCATTCTGCACTCAGGAATCTCTCCTGAAGGTGCCCAGGGGACCATATGAGATGCCAGGGATTGAACTCAGGTTGGCCTCATGCAGGGCCAAAGCTCTCTCCATTGTGCTTTCACTCCGGTCCCTTGGGGCTGATTCTTGCTCTGCATTTAGCAATCATTCTTGCCAGTCTTGGGAGGCCATATGGGTGTTGGGGATTAAACCAGGTTGGCTGTATCCAAAGCAAGCAGCTTACCCACTATACTCTCACTTTGACTCCCCCTCATTGCTTTATAAAGAGATTTGTTGTTCTTTGACAGCTGGGAGGTCAAAACATTGATGTCTTGGTCCTACAGAAAATGCAAACCTTTCACCCATAAAATCTCCCTTTTATTCTGCCTGCTTCCAACTCAAACTCATTTCATTCAAAAGTTCTTACATGCAAAATGCTCAACAACTTGGCTGCTTTTCTTCAGGTAGAAGTTAGTAAACATTTGTATTTCATATAGTAGATAAAATCAGGCAACTTCTAATAGTGATTCTTGTCCTCAACAAAGGCCTAACTAGGTGGGTCCATCAGGAGACTTGTTCTAGGTGGGGTCAAAGTTGTTCTTGTTCTCAAATAAAAGTATGAAGTCTGCTAAGAGTCCTGCAATTACTGATCACTTTTCAATATACAAAACATCGTCTTGGACGCTTGCAAGAAAATATAGAAGAAAGAGAACTGATAAGGAGCTACGGGCGGGGGAGGGGGGTCAGTCTTCGGAGTGTGTCACAAAGCTCTGGACTGGATCCACCAGTAAATCTTTCCTGAACAAACTGGATGATTCCACCTCCCTGAACTTCTTCCAGCATCAAGAGAGAATAACAATGTCTATGTTTAGGGTGGTGGGGACTGAAAATGTCATGTGAGCAGTACCAGCAGATAGTAAGCCAGTTCGCAGTCGCTGTCACACTGACCACAGCAGACTTCCTTTAAAATCCCAGTAGATGGAATGACAAATGAGGAAGGGAGTGACAAGGGTATTCGGCATACCTGAGTCAGGTAAGGGGGGAGGAAGGGGCAATGAGGACAAGAGAGAGGTGAGCTATGGAAAGAAAGAAAGAAAGAAAGAAAGAAAGAAAGAAAGAAAGAAAGAAAGAAAGAAAGAGAAAGAAAGAAAGAAAGAAAGAAAGAAAGAAAGAAAGAAAGAAAGAAAGAAAGAAAGGGACTCCAGGATGGACTCGTGAAGATACAATGAACAGAATGGCAGAGTCCAGAAGCCATCTGGTGGGTCTAAGGAAGATTTCATCAAAATAGACTAAGATTAACGAGGTGGCATGTGGGGGCTCTAATGCCGGATATCACGGCTGTTGGACAGGCAACATGGAAAGAGCCAAGATGAATAGGGATCCTGGTGCTGTTTCCTTCATGTGGCCAATGAAATGCATGGGCCTGAAAGAGAAACAGTTCCTCCAGTAACAAGAAGAGTAGGATGCTTGGTCCAGGAAAGTGGGAGTAAAAGGCTATCCCTGAGCTCTCCACAAGAGGAGCAGTCATTGGCTGCTGAGCGCACCCGTGACTCTGCTCTCAGGGAAGCCCAGTGAACCGGTATCGCCACACTGCAGTGAAGGAGTGTCTACACCAAGCCTGACTGTGCTTACACTGTGCAACAGTGGCCAAAACCAGACTTCCCAGGAAAACAGGGGAGCATCTGATGGTAGAAGAAGTTGGAAACAGGGTTTAACTGTGCATAGCGGGAGCTTCTTTTCATTCTCCAGTGGCACTGGTGAAAGAAGGAACCAGTCTATGTTTAGAAAGTGCAATCACTCACGTAGGATTCTTAAACCGCTTCATAGAGTTAAGGAAAGAGAGGGCAGGACACATTCCTAAGTGTTTGAAGAAGTGCCTTCAGCTCCTCAAACTCCCAACCATGGTTCATGGGCATTGGGACAATGTAAAGATCAAGGAAAGAGCCCTCATATTATTATTATTATTATTATTATTATTATTATTATTATTGATGGTGGGGGACATATCCAGCGATGCACAGGAGTTACTCCTAGCTCTATACTCAGGAATTACTCCTCCTAGTGGGGTTAAGGGGACCAAATGGGATGCTGGGGATTGAACCAGGGTTGGACGCATGCAAGGCAAGCACCCTATTCGCTGTAGTATCTCTCTGGTCCTGAGTCTTCATATTCTTTATATTGGGGAGGGGGGATTGAAAGGGGCCCGCCCAACCCTTCGTGCTTCTGGTATCTCCCTATATAGCACACTTGCTGTGGCCTAGCCAGCAGGAGGCTATCTGGAGAAGGAGGCAGAGGCCAGCTGGCATCCTGGTCAGTGTCATGTGCCAGCTGGGCCCTCGGCAGAGCTTCCTGCCAACTGGCACCATGAAATGCCTCGGGCTGGGTCCAACCCTTCTGGCCTTTGTAGTGACTCTCAAGTTCTTTCACTGGAGAAGTTCTGACACGTGCACTGACACCGTGAATACGGGACATGGGTCCATGGTCTCCTGGAAAGGGGCTGAGAAAGGAAGCCCCATCTCTAGGTGTGTCTGGCAGAGCTTTCCTGAGCTGCATTTCCTGGCAGAACAGGGGTCGCAAGTAGAAATGGTCAAAGCTCTCTGCTTGGTCTGGCTTGGCACCCAGGAATGTTCCTTTCCCCTGCCCCGTCCCATCCACAGTAGGGCGGCCACCAACAGAGCAGTTCAAAATCCACGTTTATGTGGATTTCAGAGGAATGACCAATCACGCCCTAGCCACAAAGGTTGGGTCACACAGATACTAAATGTTCAGCCTTTGAAATTTAAATTGAACTGGGCCAAAAGAGATCGATCTGTCATTTGTCCCACCGAGGAAACACAACCAACTGAGACTCCCTCCTCCGCAAAGACAGTTCTCAGGCCTAAACATTAATCTGTATTTATTCTCTTACACCATCTCATTGTCTCCTGACAACAACTGTGCAAATGACCTAACAGCACCATATCTGCAGGTGGGGAGATTAGTGTCCAGAGAGACATGGAACCAGGACCAGGTGGGGCGGGGGCTGTAAACTCCTCTGTGTCCCCACTAAGACTGCCACATCCTTCTCCCCACTCAGGCCACTCACTGGGGCAGCTGCTCGAGCTTGGGAGGGAATTGTTCAGAATGGTCTGATGCTCGCTCAGTGCCTGCCAGAGCACAACTGCAATGCAACTTCCTTACATCCCTTCAACGGTGCTTACAGAAGCAGATCTGCCCCTGCAAAGGAGCCCTGGGGCTGGGCCAGGGATATGGCGCAGTGGTAGAGCATTTGCCTTACAGCTGTGAGGTCCTGGTTTGATTCCCAGAACAGCTGGGAGAAACCCGGAGCACAGTCATGCAAACAAACAAAAACAAAGAAATATAAATTAAAGGCGCCTTGGGATGCCTGCTCAAATGCTTGTCTCCTAGCACCCACCTAGGTCTGGTTTCATTAAGACCCTGAAGAGCTGGGGGAAGTACCAGATCCCGGCAGAACCTCTGAACAAACAAGCAGAAATGAGCTGAGACTTTGAAGGCTGGCAGCTTGGAGGAAAGTTCTGGGCCCTATCCTTGCCCCCCAATTCTGCTGCTCCTGTCACTTCTTCCCACTAGAGGGGACTGTAGCATGGGGAGCTGAGGAGCTGGGCGCTCTCCTGGCCCACCTGGGGAATCTCCAAGGTTATATTGTGGGGTGTTTGTGCTGAGCAGTCAGACTCCTCGGAACCTTCTGGAACCATACAAGTGATATTCTCAGGGGATCGTTTCAAGTCTCAATGATGTGTCATGCAATCTAGTGTCTGGCACAGCTCCTGGCACCCAGAGTACTGGGTCAGAGACATAGACTTTTCAGAGTACCATAGTATGGGGTCACCAGGTGAACCTCAATCACTTGGCTAATCTCCCTTCAGGCTCAAGCGCAGAAGCAGTGCATCCGAAGCCTGCAGAAGCCAGCCTGTCCCGAGTCGGGTGGAAGTCTGTTGGGGCCACAAGCAGAGCCCTAACCTGGTCAGGCACCTTCTCCCCAGTGCTGAGGCTCCACCTGGTTTGCCTGTCACTGCACAGGCTGGGGGAATGGGACACCCCTTCCTGTGACTAAGAATAGAAACCAAGAGCTAGTTCATACCCTTGAAAAAATTGGCTGCAAAGCCTGCTTTATTGATGGAGCCATCAGATACAAACTTCAGCCACATTCTGTTGGAGCTGGACTTCACATCCTCGGGCTTCTCGTAGCCACAAAAGTGGCCGATGGGGGCGCTGTCTTCCGAGGGGCCGTCCCGGATTTCCAGGTAGTCATAGGCACAGCTGTCGTGCCTCTCGATCTGAATGGAGAATCAGAGGCAATGAGGACGATGATGGAACGGCAAAGCTATAAGGTTTTCAAATTTAGGAATGGAATCTATTACCCTCCTCCTCGTCACCTAATCTGACCAAGAGCAGCCAAGTGTGTGTTGGGCTGCTCCAAGTTATCTCCTGCTTGAACTAGCTGTCAAGAGACTAGGGGATGAGGAAGAGGGAAGAACAGGTCTACAGAGTACCCCCGGGGTCTTAGTCGAGACTCTCACTCATTGTGTCTGCAGTCTGTCTATCACCTTCCCGAAATGCTTGGCTAGCAGGTGCCCGGACTCACACACACCAGGAGTTTGAAATAAATGGCCCCTCAGGTTTGTATCTGCGTTCCCTAAGATGGAAACCTGTTTTCATAGAGTATCTAGGAAAACGGTGATGTGTGTATCTATGTCTATCATCTATGTCTATCATCGATATCTATATCTATATCTGTATCCACTTAACTCGCGGGAAAACAATCTTTGCAGTACTCACCTCAAAAGCTTGGAAACTGAGCCCCACGTGAAAACCCTCAGAGACGGTAATTCTCCAAACACATTCCTCGGAAGGCCGGTAGTCGTCTGGGTAATTGGGAGACTGGATCTGGCCGGCATCTTTGTTAATGTTGCCCCCACAGGTAGCTTCAGAGAGTGAGGAAGGGAAATTGGGGATCTCAGATCAGAACTCACACAGGGAGAGTGGGTGACGACTTACTACCACGAGGTGGCTCCACTTGCCAATCTTTGTCACTTTCATGGACCTTGAGCCTGTGTCTGACTGAAGGGGCACCAGTTCATTTGTTTGCAAGCCTGCATCGTGTCCACCTAAAGGCAATGGCCATGCAGGGCAAGGGCCCTCTCCCTTTGCTCTGTTCAGCGGGGCAGGGTTTGGAGTTGTGAAAGCTCATGTGGGTCTGAGGTCTCTGAGCAGCAATGATGGGAGAGGATGGTGGGTGGCAACTATCGAGGGAAGCTCACTCATTACTTATCTTATTAAAGTTTATTTTTAGAGCTAGGTCCAAAAAGGGGTGTTGGTTTCTTTGGAGGTGGGGGGCACTGGAGTAGTTCCACAGATGGGAACAGAATTGCCCTGGGGCAGGTGCCCAGAGGCCAGACCGATTGGTTCCCTGGCATGCCTCTGAGGTCCTTCCAAGAAACGAGCAGAAAATTCCCTGACACTGTCAAAGTCCTCAACTCACAAACACAACCGACCCCCTGAGGCTCAGTGTTCTGCTCCTCAGGCTCCAAGTGGAAGCAGCTGCTTCCATTTCCGTAGGGTTCTGGGCTTCTCCGTCCCCTCCCCAACCCCGCCCAGGGCAGCTGCCAGCCTGCTGGGGCGAGTGGCCCCAGGACGGTCACCAACAAACCTTCGTACACCGCGAAGAAGCCCTTGCCCAGGACGCTGCTGCTGCTGCGGAACTCCACCCAGAGCCGGCTGTCCGTGGAGATGAGGGGCTCTGGGACCTGGTCGCCACAAAACCTGCCTGGGAAGTGGGAGAGAAGCGTCAGGAGGTCGCGGACGGCGAGAGGGCAGGGGCAGACGTTTCCGTGGTGGTGCCAAGGGAGCAATGTCCTCCTTGCTGGGGCCGCCACCAGCCTGCAGCTCCATCACATGGAGAGAAGGGACCGACGGTGTCTCCCTGCAGAGGGCCTAGGGAGGACGCCCAGTTCCTGTCCAGCATGGACTGGAGTGCGGCCCAGCCCCTGCCCAGGTGCAGGGAAGGGGTGTGAGTGGGATGAGCAGAGCTCTGCCCCGTGGAGCCCCTCTCTTGGGCCCAGGCCTGCGGGAAGACATTCAAGCCCTCCTGCCTGGGAAGGGATGCTGAGGACACACCTGCGAGAGGGGAAAGCTTCCGGCCTTTTGACTTTCAGGATGCTGGTGATTTCAAAGAAAACTTGGAAGGGTGCTGGCTCCTCTTTGTCTTTGGGGGTTCCTGGGATGGGAAGTGGAAGGGTCAAGGAGAGAGGGAGAGGCCAGGAGCCTCTGGAGGGTCCTGGGCTCTGCCCCACCCTGAGTACAGACTCTGGCTGAAGAAGGAGGATGGAAACCCTATGCAGGCTTAAGAACATGGGGGAGCATGCACCCTAAGTTTCTGGACAAAACCTAAAGGGTAAAAAAAAAAAAAACAAGATTGGGGCTGGAGCAATAGCAGAGCAGTTAGGGCATTTGCCTTCCATGTGGCTGACCCAGGTTCGATTCCCAGCATCCCATATGGTTCCCTGAGCACCGCAAGGAGTAATTTCTGAGTGCATACGCCAGGAGTAACCCCTGTGCAATGCTGGGTGTGACCCAAAAAGGAAAAAAAAAAAAGACCGAAGATTCCCAGTGTCTCCAGGGGTTGTTGAGGCATCAGACGAGAAGACAGGCATGAAAGGACCTGGGGCAGAGCATGGCTGGGGAGGCATCGGCCAGAGACTTTTCCATCACCAAGGCAACTGGTGAGCCACAGAACAGCCCCACAGACTGACTTGTAGAGATGAGAATGCACCCAGGTGAACTGGTCTAGGTGGACAGGAGCGGGAGGAAGCAGAGCAGCCACTGAGGCGGACACAGGACTGGAGACCAGCCTCTGATGGAGATGTAGATGCCCAAGCGCACGGCAAGGATGGCAAGGTGGACGCCGCCCTCACACCCCTGCCCGGGCACTGCCACATGGGAGCAAGACAGCACAAAGGGATGGAAGTTAGGTTCCCAATCCTTGCTGGAAGGGTGTTTGTAATCACTCACAACTCTCTTAAAAACTGGAAAGGAATGTATGGTGCTTTGACACTTGGGAATGAGATCAGAGATGGGGAAAGGAGGGTGGGACAGGTTTCCTGGGCTCGAGGTCCTGGCCATGTCACTTCTGGGCCACATAAGGCTGCCAGGTTAAAAGGGCAGTGGAGGGTGAGTTGGGCAGTGGGCTGAATCTTCCTCATCGGTTCACCACACACATCACACAAGGCCTCAAGGGGTAACCATATTATTCAATTCATATTTTCTTGAAGTCCACAAGGGACTAGAGAGAGAAAGCTTGAAGGGTTGGTGGGCAGGTCTGAGGCTCCGGGTTCAATGCCCAGCATGGCCCCCTGGACACAGCTGGGTTCGGTTCTGGTCACCCTGGGCTGAATGTCACCCCCTGAGCTCTACTAGGGCACCCCTTCTCCAAAGAATATTAAATAAAAACTTGAGGGGCTGGAGTGATAGCACAGCAGGTAGGGTGTTTGCCTTGCATGCAGCAGACCCGGGTTCAATTCCCAACATCCTATATGGTTCCCTGAGTACCGCCAGGAGTAATTCCTGAATGCATGAGCCAGGAGTAACCCCTGTGCATCGTCAGGTATGGCCCCAAAACAAAAACAAAACAAAACAAAAACTTGGAAAACGGAAACATATTTGAGCACTGATGGTGTGAGGGTCGTGAAGCTAATCCTCATGGCATCAGTGCTTAATAAAGCTACTGAACATGGGACAGGGGCTGGGGGGCGGGGCTTTGGATTCGCCTGGACACAGTCGCTCGGTCTCATCCTTCTGAGAAGTGGGAGATGAGGCTGGAGAGGGGGACGCGAATGCCACTGGACATTTCCTAGTGGCAACTGCCACATGCATTCTCGGGGGAGACATGGGTGGGTGGTGAGAAGAGGTTGCTAATCTCCCTCTACTTCCATCTGCCTCTGGTCACCTGCAGCTTTCTGGATTTGGAGAGTTTACTACTGAGGGAGATGAGCTAACACGGCTGCCAGGAATCCAGCAAGAAGAAATCCACCCAAAGCCTATAAATTCTCAGTAATGGTTCCTCTGGCATGGCCAATTAGTGTCAGCAAGTTCTTGGAAACAGCACGGGAGCCCAAGGAAGTATTACGTACCAGAGAGCCTGAGGTCCAAGTCCAAGTTTATTCTTTTAAAACCTCAGCTGTCACAGCCACTGGGGACAGTTTCCAAAAGTGAGAGGAACTCCCAGTGCCTCGCTGCCTAATAACTCAACCGAATAAGAAGGACCACCCACCCATGGACACGGGGCAGCCCAGATCTGCTTATTGTCAGAAAAAGTAAGAATTTCAGGCTAAAGAGCTTATTTTTATAGAGCCACAGGCAGGGATGGTGAGGGGGGGGCGTACTGGGGCCACCCCCAGGTATCAAATCCACGCAGGACCTATACACAAAGCCCCTCAGTTCACTAAGGTCTATTTTACTGTCTCTATACAGCTAGACAGTGTAGAATAAATTTCAAATTATCCCTAAGTAATGTCTCTCCTCAAATCACCTGAACAATTCTAAGCTAGAATCTTCTACTTAGTCCCTTGACTCTTATCTCAATGTTCTCATCATCTCCATAATGGTTCTAATAACCCCCCCCTTTTTTATGAGCACGTCGATAGCAGACACTGTCCTGCAGTCTTTGCAAGGATTAACACATTTCTGTCCCGTTCTCCCCTGAGTTAGATAATATCCAGCATGGGAGCTTTTTCCCCACTCAGGAGGAAGTGGAGTGAAATTGAGTAGAGTTCATTTAAGGGACACTCGGAGTTGTAAGTGGGTACAGGATTTTGAGGCTCAGCTGTTGGAGTTTTAGATCTTCATCATCCTCATCAGCATCACCCGCCTGATGAGGAACTGAATTCTCCATCTGAGACAGGGACAGTGCACCTGGGAATGTAAACATCAGTCCCCTGCCCCAGCTCAGACTCAGAGGATGAAGATCAAAGTCTCAAACCATAAAGTAAGGCTCTGGCCTGACCAGCCGTGGCTGGCTGACTCACGTTGCCATTTCTGTGTCATTTGGGAGGTGGCTCCTGTGCAGAGAAGCCCAGGCGACACTGATTGGCCAGCCTGGCCTTCCTGAACCCCCTCCCCTCTTTAGGGAAGGGGGAGAAAGGGCTTTTGTGTGCATGGTGGTGGCTCAGAATACCCCAAGACAGTTCTGCATACAAAAGTGCATTGTTGGAATAATTCCTCCGGCAGAAGTGAGGGAGGGGAATCCAATTAACAGGAGAGCATTTAGGACGGCTGGATGAGCTCTCTCTGTGCCGCCACCTTCCCATCCCCTTTAGGTGTGATCGCATAAGTGACCCGGGAAACCGAAAATCCAATTTAGCGTCTTTAACCAGCTGTGAAATGTTCTCAATCGACTTACATTTCCCTTTCATCGTTCTGTAAAAATCCCTGTCTCCAGTCGCCTCCTTCCAAGGAGACCAACAGGCCAGAGAGAGCACAGAGTGGAGAAAAGGTGTCAAATTCCTCATTTGAAATCTGGTTTCTTGTTTTGGAAGAGAAGTTTTATAAGGATATCAAGAAGAGGAAATGCAGATGAGGACACTACAAGTGGTCTCCACGGGGAGCCATAAGGAGTTCATTCATAAAAAGTCATGCGTCCATTATGACTGGATTTTCACACACAGCCCTGGGAAAATATGCAACGCACAGTTTTTCAGAGCAAGATGCATACTTTCACAATTCGCCCTAATCCGTTCTCCCTCCTGCCAAAGGGGCATTGACCTGCCTCCTCCAGGCAGATTTCATGCCACTGACCCCTCCCAGGACCAGCTTGGCCCACACAATGCACTTGTTTCAAACACAAAAGTTCACTAGCAACTGCATTTGGAAACATCAGAGCAGACCAAATAGTTGGCAAGGAAGAACTCCTGCAAATGAAGAATGATGGTTACAGGCGCTCAGCCATGTTGTGCTCAGAGCACAGAGATGCACGAACACAAACACACACACACACACATATGAACACACCCTCACATGCACACACATACACATGAACACATCCACTCACACTCTCAATATACGCACATGTGTGCATGCGTGCACACGCACACATACACACACACACACACACAAAGCATGTGAACTATGAGCCCTGAAGAAAACAAATGACATAAACCATTCCTGATAATAAATATCAAAATCGCATCTAATCAATAAAAGTGTCGCTCAAGATCTCAGAATCTGAAGTGAGAAAAATGCTGGTTTCAAATTTAAAAGAATGACTGCAAACTCTCCCTCATGCTTTCTCAAATGCAGCCTTCACGCTCTCCAGGGCACTCCAGAGACCCAGAGCCGCCTCCTCCCTTAAAGTTGCCCTTTAAGTCTATGATATTGGCAGCAAGTGGTATAGGATAGTCGAATTTAACAAAAATAGGGGAAGCCCAGCTAAAATTTTATTTTCACTGTGTACACCAAGACAATATGTGTCAGCACCATTGAAAACATAGGACCTTATAGATGAGAAATTTTAAACTGACTTAAAAAAAATTTTAAATGCATTTCCAAGGCCCAGAGAGACAGTACAGAAATTAGGGTGCTTGCCTTGCATGTGGTCAACCAGGGTTCAATCCCCACTACTACTTAAGGTTCCCCAGTGCTTCCAGCAGTGACCCCCCGAGCACAGAGCCAAAAGCCAACCCTGAGCACTGTGGAGTGTAGCTCCCCGAACCAACCAACCATTGCTTTCCCCTTCTCAGTAGTGTTCCCTTCCCCAGCAGGGTGTCTCTCAGCCATGTTCTCTCTTGGGGAGCATGGTTTTCCCAAGGGGTGAGCTCTGAGAGTCTACACCCCGCCAGGCTGAAGAACTCCGTCACCTGTGTTCCTTTGAGCCTTCCTCCTCACGGCTCTGCTTCCCACTTGAGTTCTAAATATCCTAGGGCATTCTTTTCAGATAAACAACCCAGAACCAAGAAGTCACCCACTACTTCCGTGTGCCCCTTTGGTGTGTGTGTGTGTGTGTGTGTGTGTGTGTGTGTGGCCTGAATGAGCATCCAAGCTGGTCTCTCCTGTGTCTGGCACATTAAACTGTGGGCTCATCCCCCGACCCGAACCTGTGGAGGTTCCAGTCTGGGGTGTCAGCTAACACAGCCCTGTGAGGAACCCCTGCTGCCTCTGCCAGCCTCCCTTGGGGGGCTGCCACAGCCCTGCCTCCCTCTCGCTCCTGGCACTTGTCTTCTTCCAGCTGTGTCCGACCACCCGAGGCAGGAGCAGGGATTCAGGGCACGAGTCTCCACCCTGCTACTGGGTGGCACCAGTCTCTTGTCGTGCAGTGCACACGCTCCTCTCCATGGCTGGCCAGCCGCTGTTTCCTTCTTTGTACATTTTTTTCTTTTGCAGGAGGGTGCATGTCTGGTGGTGCTCAGGGCTTCCTCCTGAGTCTACTGTATCCCAGGACCACTCCTAGGGGAGTTCAGGAGACTGATAGGGATTGAACCCCAGTCGGTCACATGGAAGGCAAGCACCTGACATGTTATACTATCTGGCCCCCAGCCACCGATTTCTACATGAACAGCTACTATGACTGATTCCTCCTACTGGTGAAAAACTGGCACCCTGGCTCAGAGCCTGCCCCAGCTGCTTTCTAGAGAACCTAGAGACACATTTCTGTTGTTTATACCTCTAGGTACTGAAATCAGAGGGGCAAGGTGCTATTATCTAGGGCAGCCGGCCTGCTTGAACCACACTGGCTAGACAGAAGCCAAATACAGATGCCCTGAGGGTCTCGCCAGCCCCTCAGTCTCAGCCTCTTCTGACTGATCCCAGAATCTGGCACGAAGTCAGGCTTGAGTGTGAGCCTGGGCTCGCAGCTCTCCAGCTCACCTTCCTCTCCTTCCCGCCTGCATTTCAATCAGCCGCTCCGACACAGCTCGCTCCCGGTCAGTCATTCTTGGAGAACATGAGGGGCTTTCTGCTCGCTGAGGAGAAACCAGGGACAACATCCTCCCGAGAGCTTAGACTGACTGTCTGGAAGCCCACCCTGTGGAACCCGCATAGAAGCTGAGGACAAGCCCATCCTCCCTGGCCCTTCTTGCTGGCTCTTTGTCAATTCTCTTCTCCATTGAGCTCCCCTAGGGCTGTGATCCAGTCCACTTCCGGTCTGAGTGTTGCCCAGAGTCATTCATCACCCCCACCCGCTGTGCCATTATCCAGAGAGAGCGCTTCTCTGGGGACCAACTTTCAATTGGAGGGAATTGACCTTTCAATTTGTGTCATCACCCCCTTCACCCCACACAAGGTAGAAAACTTGGAAAATACTTAGAAAAACAGCTGAGAAGCAATGCAACAACAGTGTGCAAAGTTAATACTTCATCAGCCTAAATGACTGTTATGGACAATTTATTTGTGTTTATAATTCTTCTTGATGTTGATCCGGTAGATCACAAAATGCTTCCCTCCTATTGAATTCAGACCTCACACTGTTTTAAGTAATTTTTTTGAGTTATTTTGGTTGAGTTCCTGACTTGTTGGGCACAAAACCTCCACCCGACCCCACATTCCACTTCTCTTTTATTCTACCAACCCCAACTCACTCATGTCCACCTTAGTCTGGAATTTTCAAGGTTGGAATATGACATGTCTGAGTGTGTTTTTGTGAGAATGGAATCCTATACATTCTTTTTAGTAACACTGGTTTTGTGTAACCATGTACAACGGACACCTTTCTGTCTACATAGTCACCTCCAACTTTATTTTTAATGGCTGGATAGTTTTCCAGGGAAAGGTGCATCATAATTTATTCAGCTAACTCCTGCTGTTAAACATTTAAATTGTTTTCAATTCTCTCTGCTTCACCGAGCATCCCTATAGCAAGAGCTCTGAACACTTCCTTAATTAGTTCCCCAGGATAAACTCCAAGAAGTGGAATGGCTAGATCAAAGGGTGTTTGCCGGCTTAAAAGCTTTTAACAGGAGTGACCAAATGGAGAGCTCAGACTTGCACAATGACACAGACCCTTGAGGGCTTCCTGTGAAGCCCACCAGACAGACCCTACTAAACTTGAACCCAGTCACACACAACATCCCCTCCCTCACAGTCAGGCTTTCCAAAAACAACTCACCCAACAGCGGGGCTTTTCGCCAGTAACCATCTCGGACCTCCACGTAGTCATACCAGCACAGGCGGCTTTTAAACAAGTCCATGGCGGTGAAGTTCAAGATGATCTGTGAAGAGTGAAAGGGGCTGAGAAAGACACTTCTTGCATGCCAGGCTTTCTCACATTACTCAGACCTCCCAAGCCACAGTAGGAGGGTCTCCTCAAAAACACTTACAGGAAGCCCCGTGACATTAAATAATAAACCACAAGCAAGATTGGGTGGGTAAAACAAAGAATCTGGGTCCTTTAGTTTTTAGCTCTGTTTTTCTAAGTATTTTCCAAGTTTTCTACCTTGTGTATTCTTTGGGGTGAAGGGGGTGATGACACAAATTGAAAGGTCAATTCCCTCCAATTGAAAGTTGGTCCCCAGAGAAGCGCTCTCTCTGGATAATGGCACATGGGGGTGATGAATGACTCTGGGCCCCACTCAGACCGGAAGTGGACTGGATCACAGCCCTAGGGGAGCTCAATGGAGAAGAGAATTGACAAAGAGCCAGCAGTTTTGGGGGTAATGGAGCTATGGAAGTCATTAGGCGGTTTGCAGAAAGCAAGAAGATGGGGCAAGACTCACTGAAATTTGGGTTTGGGGAGGTTGTAAGGGGCCAAAGAAACCTTAAACCTGGAGATATAAGAAGTTCTTAGAACATCATCAATAATTTTATAGGATATGGGGTTAGCCCCAGTTAATCTGAGCCCCTCCAAATCAATGTCCCTGTGTCCATAACCTCACTATTCTGAGGTGAATATGTCAAATAACTGTCCTATAGTGAGCCTATAGTTTGTTCTAATCATAGTCATTCATCTATATGCCGACCCATACATACATACCTCTGTACATCTACCCATATGTACATTGTCCATCCATCCATCTGTATGTTCATACATGCATTCATCTATATCTACACTCCATCCATCCATCCATTCATCCATCCATCCATCCATCCATCCATATATACATATATCTGTATGTCCATCCATATGTAAATGCACCCATACATCCATCTATCCTTCCATCCAATCATTCACCTGTGTATTCGTCCATCCATCCATTCATCTGTCTATCCATACATACATTTATCCATCCATTCTACCAGTTTGCCCACCACCTACTTCATGACAATCTTTGTTAGTCAATTATGACAGAAAGATCAGTTAGTGGGGTTCTTGCCCTTATGGGCCCTAGACAAAGAGGAAAGAGCAGATGCATCAGATCAATCAGAACATTCTGGAAAGAGAGAAGAACTGAAAGGGCTCTCTGGAGCGCCAGGGTAGGGGAAGTAAGTTCTGGAAGGCACTACTGAAAGGCTTCTCAAAGGAGGTAGCATTTGACACAAGGGATGTATGGGTCCAGAGGGAAGTGAAGAAGGGTAAGAGCACATTGGTGAAAGTGGACTAATATGATCAAAAGAAGAGATGTGTGGAAAACTGAATTGCAAGCCCTAGACCCCAGTCTATGTGTCTGGAATGAGGGAGAAGGGGAAGAAGAACCAAGGCTGGAGGTGAGGGATCAGACTGAAGGGGAAAGAAGATCTGGGGAGACCATGCAGATGCACCTTTTCCCTCAACACAGGTGGGGCTGGTCCACAGGACTGTCCTGCAGCTGAGGGGAGAGAGGATGGGCTTCTCCTCTCCCTTTAGCCCAAGCCACCATGTAGGGTGCTCTCACCTTTGTTCCGTCTATCCCCACCCTTATGCATGCATGCTCCCCCACTTTACCTTGATATCCCCCAGTCCCTTTTTGATCAAGAAGCCCCTCTGTTTCTGAGGGATGGAGGTCAATGTTTCCAGAACCTTACCAGGCAAATCTAAATTGTCCTCATGCTCTATGGCCCCCTTCCCTGACCCTCTCCCCCTCTCCTCTCACTGTTCTTCGTCCATGCACCTGGCTTCCCTGTTCCCCACTAATTATGAGGGTGCCTGAGATGAGCAGTGTGCTCCTGGAATCACCCCATCACCCAGGTGTGACCCCCAGAGTTCCCTCTCCCTTTCCCAGGCTGGCTTGTCCCCACTCCCTCATCTGACTCTTTCCCCTGCAGAAGCGACTCCTGACCCCTATCCTGCTCTGCCCCTGCCCAGGCCACACGTGGGGACTTCCAGATGAATCTGCACCACATCTCAGGTTTGCCAGAACCTCCCTGTGTGTGCTGAGGAAATGTCCTTGCTTCTGGGACTCCCAAATCACAGATGAAAATTTTGCCTTTCCAGAGTCTCCAGGGCCCAGCCTGTGTATGCCAAGGTCCCATGTGCTCTGCTGTGCCCATTCTCCTGACCCTTGTCCTCCTGACCAAGTCTTACTGGGATCATGCAGCTGGACCCCGCTTTCCCTGGTTGGAACTCCCCCTCTCCCACCACCACCTCCAACAATGACAGCAGAGCAGTGTGAGAGTCTGGCAGAAGGGAATTTTCACCTCCCACTCACTAGCGCTGGAACCCCGGGGGCAAATCCTTATCTCCTGGAACCCAAGTTTCCTCATCTGTAAAAGCAACTTACCTGCCAGGGAGGCTGTGGGGACCGGAAGCACTGGAAACAGCTCATAGAGAGGATGATGCTGTGCCCGGCACACAATGATGTTTCACAGAGGGAAGTACCTTTTTTAGGGTCACTGACATGGGTGCTACGGGGCAGGGTCCCTCCCCAAGAGGCTTTGTCCAGTGGTGTGGGTTTGATGGGTTCTGTGATTGGGCCTGGGGATGCAGTGCTTAGGTCCCAAGGGGCTGGGGGCCACCAGGATCACACTCCAGGGAGTTTAAAGGGTCAGGGATCAAACTCAGATCCTTGGTCGTGTTAAGTATGTGCTCTACCACTTGAGCTATCTCCCTGGCCCAGTACACAAAGATTTTAAGTATTCAAAGAGACCAGGGACAATTCTTGGGAAAAAGAAAATGGGAGGAATCAACCTCCCGAACTTCAAACTGTACTACAAAGCAGTAATAATTAAAACAGCATGGTACTGGAACAAAGGCAGAACTGCAGACCAATGGAACAGGGTTGAATACACTGACATCTCTCCTCAATCATATGCTCATCTAATCTTTGATAAAGGTGCAAGTAATGTGAAGTGGAGTAAGGAAAGCCTCTTTAATAAATTGTGTTGGCATCACTGGACGGCTACATGCAAAAAAATAGGCTCAGAACTCTGCCTAACACCATGTACAAAAGTAAGATCAAAATGGATTAAAGACCTCAACATCAGACCAGAAACCATAAGGTACATTGAAGATAAAGTTGGCAAAACCCTCCATGACATTGAAGCTAATGGTATCTTCAAAGATGCCACGCCACTGGCCGAGCAAGTGAAAACAGAGATAGATAAATGGGACTATCTTAAGCTAAGAAGCTTCTGCACCTCCAAAGAAACAGTGACCAAAATACAAAGACAGTCTACAGAATGGGAAAGGATATTCACCGAATACACATCTGACAAGGGGTTGATATCCAGGATATACAAAATACTGGTTAAACTCCACAAGAAGAAAACATCCAACCCCATCCAAAAATGGGGCAATGAAATGAACAGAAACTTTCTCAAAGAAGAAATCCGAATGGCAAAAAAGCACATGAGAAAATGCTCTACATCATTAATCATCAGGGAGATGCAGATCAAAACCACAATGAGATACCATCTCACACCTCAGAGACTGGCCCACATCAAAAAGAACAAAAGCAACCGATGCTGGCGTGGATGTGGCGAGAAAGGGACACTCCTTCACTGTTGGTGGGAATGTCCACTGGTTCAGCCCTTCTGGAAAACAGTATGGACGATTCTCAAAAAATTAGAAATTGAGCTCCCATTTGACCCAGCAATACCACTCCTGGGAATATATCCCAGAGAGGCAAAAATGTATAGTCGAAGTGACATCTGCACTTGTTTGTTCATTGCAGCCCTCTTTACAATAGCCAGAAACTGGAAGGAACCTGAATGCCCAAGAACAGATGACTGGTTAAAGAAACTTTGGTACATCTACACAATGGAGTACTATGTAGCTCTTAGAAAAGATGAAGTCATGAAATTTACATACAAGTGGTACAATATGGAAAGTATCATGCTAAGCGAAATGAGTCAGAAAGAGAGGGATAGACATAGAAAGATTGCATTCATCTGGGGGATATAAAGTAACAAAGTATGAGATTAATACCCAAGAATAGCTGAGATCAGCACCAGGAGGATTACTCCATAACTTAGAGGCCAGCCGGGTATCCTAGAGGAAAGGGCTATTCAGATAGAGAAGGGAGCACCAAATAAAGGATGTTTGGAGGATCCTCCCAGGAGGGGAGATGCATGTCGAAAGTAGACTATGGACTGAACATGTTTGCCACTCAATGCCTCTTTTGCAGACCACAACACCCAAAAGGAGAGAGAGAACACAGGGGATTGCCCTGCCACAGAGACGGGGGGATGGGGGGATGGGGGTGGGAGGGATATTGTTCATGGTGGTGGAAAATGGGCACTGGTGGAGGGATGGGTATCTGATCATTGTATGATTGAAACCAAAGCACAAAAAATTGTAAATCTACAACTTTAAAAAAAATAAAATAAAATAAAGGGAAAAAAAAAAAAAAAAAAACAAAGAGACCAGGGATATGGCTAGTAGTAAAGCTTATATTGATAAAATATATTATCCATATTTATGATATAAATAATATAAATTTATATATAAAGCTTATACTATGAAGCTTGATGCCCTGGGTTTGATTCCTGCCATGACACACACAAACTATTCAAGCAACATTGCAGGTTCACTCGGTGCATCACAAACCAAACACAACATATGCTCTCTGCAAGGGCCTGTCATGATAGGCACAGAGCCTGACCTTCCCTGAGGCAGATCTTGCCTCACAGCCAGAGTTCAGGGTCAGGAGCACTTTCTTCCTTAAGCTGTCCTACACTAAAAGATAAAGTCAGTACCAAAAAACAACAGGCCAGGAAGCTGGAGAGAGAGTACAGTGGGAAGAGCACTTGCCTTGCATGTAGCCAACCTGGTTTGATTTCCAGGGACTCATAGGGCTCCCCACGTTAGAGCACAACTGGCTGGACAGGACTGAAATCTGGGGTGAAACCTGAGCAC